AGCACTTGTTAGTTGCAAAGGGGAAAAATAAATTTTTCCAATGGAGAGGCCAGGCCCACTTTATCCCCTTGCCCTGGGGCAGGCGCTTGGGGTCTCTGATATGTCCAGCAAGGCCCAATGCGCATGGGCTCCTGAGCAGGGAAATTTAGCCAGTCTGGCCAAGAAGCAGAATGTTAAGCTTAGTGTATTGTTATTAATACGACATACGTTGTAAAAGCCCCACGTGCCGGCGGCTGCTGGATCCAGCAGTGCAGTCTAGAGCTCACTCCCACTTAATAGATACACGAGACCCATGATGCCAGTGCAACTTCACCAGGAGTGAAAACGGTGGCCGGCCTCTGGACAGCGCCTGGCCGCCTTGGAGAGTCGCCATCAAGAAAAAGAACAAGTGGGGAAAGACGGTTCTAACCCTAAACCACAAGAGATGGAGGAGGATTGAAGGCCTCGCTATCCTGGAAACAGCAGGGAAGTTAGAAGCTTGGCTGGATTTGGGAGGATGCTGGGGTGGCTGTGTGTAGGTGGGGGGCGTGGGGGTGTAGCTGGTTTGGGGTGCTGGGGACCAATTCCAGCATGTTCAGCATGGCTGCATCTGGGAATGGCTTAAGGCATTTCCCCAAACCTGAATAGGAAACTGATTGTGGCTGACAGACAGCTAAAAGGCATCTTAATCTACATGTTATTGTCTCCTACTGGCTAAACACCTGAACAGCCGTAGGCTAATTCCCCCATTCTGACAATGGACTCTGTACCAAACCCTGACCTTTAAGTATATATCTCTGCCTCGCCACAGGACTAATTGTGTTAATAAAAAGCATGGGGTCCTGAGATGAGGAGAGAACCTAAGTCAGGGGTGGGCAACCTTTTTGTGAGTGCGTGCCAAAACCAGCAAAATCTCTGACTCAAAATTCTTCTGCGTGCCAACCCTAATTTTTTGAGAACATGTTACGCCTACTTGATATCTCTTAAGGTGTACGTATGTGAAGAACCTTGAAGAAATAATAAAATTCATTCAAGCGACAAAAACACAGTATATAATGATGAAAAATACATTAATTTTTTAATGTATACATGTTATGTAAAATTATTTATTTATCTAAGATGCACCTACACTGAATTTATCTGAAAAATAAAAAAGTCGATATTAAGAAAAAAATTGTAAATGGAAGATTGTAAGAGAGGGTTTCGCGCACCAGCTAAAGTTACTGGCGTGCCATGTTCGGCACGTGTGCCAGGGTTTGCCCACCCCTAACCTAAGGCCTTAGACTTAAAGATAGAACTTATCAGGGGTGGGCAAACTTTTTGACTCGAGGGCCACAATGGGTTCTTAAACTGGACCGGAGGGCCGGAACAAAAGCATGGATGGAGTGTTTGTGTGAACTAATATAAATTCAAAGTAAACATCATTACATAAAAGGGTACGGTCTTTTTTTTTTTTAGTTTTATTCATTTCAAACGGGCCGGATCCGGCCCTCGGGCCGTAGTTTGCCCACGGCTGACTTAGCTCCTATAGCTAAGCTCCTCTGACCCCCAATGCCTTTCAAAATTGTATCTCGTCTCCGGACTCTTTATTAGTCTCTGGATTCCTATGTCATCTACGCAGAACCCCTTCTCCAAATTCCTGAACCCTTCTTGATGCTGGGACAAGAACCCCGGCATTGGGGCATGTTGAGAGTTAAACTGGGACTTGAGAGGGGGGCACTGAGCCGATGACCCTCCAGCAGGGGCTGGAGGGAGGACAGTGCAGGAACCAGGTGGACAATGTCAGGCAGCGGGCATAGCTGAAGCAAAGGCCCTGCGGCAGAGCCAGGAGAAGGCCCGCTGCCCTGGGCAGAGCAGGTGGCCTAGCGGACAGCTTGTTGAGCGTCAGTGGGGCTCTGTGGCGCATTGTGAGCAACAGAGGGTCCTGACCCGAGTTAACAGGCTGAGATGGTTACTTTTGTCGTTTCTGCTGCATCATGCTTGTGTTGTCTGAAGTGTCCAGAGGCACATAATGCTTTTTTGCAGAGAGCAAGGGGAGCGCCTGAAGCCCCAGGAGGCGCCCAAAGCCTCTGCTGAAGGGCCCAGTCCTGGGTCCCACCCTGACCCTCTGGGGTCCGGCTAGGAGCCCAGACACTGCAGGGAGAGAATTGCCATAGAGGGGGCTGCCGGAAAGGGGCGCCAGGGCCATCTGCTCCTGCAGCCCCCCTGTGCCAGACACCAAGACCCCTGGGCTCTTGTTGCTCAGACTGAGGCCTGCCCTGCACTCCGACCCCAGCTGATGGAAGAGTAATAATAACTCGCATCCACTAGGGGGCCTTCCCACACCCCGGGCCCGGGAGCCAGGCGGGCTTAGGGAAGGAAACAGGCCTTTGGTTAAACTGCACATGGTCTGACTGTCACAGCCCCTGAACACGCCTGGAGGGAGACGAGGAGAGAGGTGACCCACTGAGACATCACAGGGCACACGGGTCTTGTGGTGTGTTCCACCGGGTTGTTCTGTAACTTTCCCCAACACAGGCCTTAAAAGGAAGGTCACCCCCCAGGCAGAGTGAAGAACTGACCCTTTTCCTGCCTGTCCACCATAAAGTCACACACAGCAGGAGGCGTGCGTATGGATTATTGTTTATTTCACTTTGACGATTGGGAAAACACCAACATGTAAGACGGAATCAAAGCTAACAGGTGACTGTACTGGCAGTTAATTGGGTAATTTTGTGGAAATAAAGATGCGCCTGTTCAAACCGAACAGCACTCAGTCACTGCCTGGGCTGGGACCTTGGCCATGAAGGCGGAGGTGCTGGCGAGAAAGCCATCGCCCCCCAGCGCTTGCCCCTCCGCAGGCGCCTGCAGCCCCGGGGCAGCCGGTTACCCACTGGCGTATTCCGCGATCCCCTTTCGGCCGGTGAGGCTTTGCCCGGACGCAGTTCTCCGGCCACGTGGCTCGCTTGGCAGCGCGCGAGGTAGGTTCTCTCTGCGTTTTGCAGACGTTCCTTGTTCCTTTTCTTGCTTTGACCAAGATGGAGGCCCACGTCCAAGGTCAGAACAACCCCTTAGCCGCCAGGCTGCCCGAGTCTAACTCTTCAAATCCGGGGGGATGTTTTCTTCGTCCACAGGCTGTTTCGGCTTCAACTGGCTGCTCAGGGTTAAGAAAGAGTAGCGCAGGCCCCCCGCCATGCTGAGAGGGGGAGAGAGGGGAAGCTAAAGAACCCGGCAGCTGCCCCACCTCTGTAAGCAGTCAGCTTACTCGGCAGGGAGCTAGCGAGCCCCGTGTGACCCCTGTTTGTAGGTTACTTGGTGAGAATTACCCCTCTTATTTCAGAAATCTTTGGGGGCAGAAAAAAAAAAGAGTAGATCAAATCTAACACAGAACTTGGTTGAGAAAATAAGCACTTGGTTATTACTGAATAAACTATACATTATCCTAAAATAGCGCCCCATGTCTGGGACCTTTAAAGGTATTTTGGTCTTCCCTCCCGCTATCCTCAGCATGTGGCGCTTTGACGGCACACAAGTTTAAGGAGGCCACTGCACCAGAGGGAGACAGACGGGGGCTCTTCCGGGAGGAAGGCGCATGGATTAAAGCTGACCTCAGCCCTGGAATGTTCATTACTCCTGACACACGAGGGGAAACAGATGAACTGAGCGGTTTAAGTGAAATTATCTTAGAAATTGGCATGTCAAAACACTACTCCTTCACTTATAACACACTAGAGGCCCAGTGCACAAAATTCATGCACGGGCGGGGGGGGGGGTGTCCCTCAGCCCGGCCTGCACCCTCTCACAATCTGAGACCCCTCGGGTAGGGTCCCTAGACCTGGCTGGCAATCAGGGTCTATCGGGGCTTTCCTTCCCCCGGCTGCTGGCAGCTGGCCCCGCCCCTGCCACTGCCACTGCTTGCCATCTGTGCGATGCTGCACCCCCCCTCCCCCACCACTGGTCGCCGCCCTCTGTGGGCAATAGGCGTGGGGTGCGATTGCTTGGCTGGCCTGGGCCTCCCTCTGCGGGGCAATAGGTCACAGGGCTCTGCGATCGATTGCCCCGCAGAGGGAGGCCGCACCCACTCAGCCATGGATCCGCAATTGATGGCTGCGCAGAGGGTGGCCTGGGCCTTCCTCTGTGGGGCTATCCTGAGGCGATGGCGAGGCCCCTCAACTAATCACATCACATCCACCTTGGCTGGCCTGGCGCCAGTGGGTGTCATAGCATGGTCCTCCAGACGGTCGTTCTGCTGTTTGGTCGTTCGGTCAATTTGCATATTATGCTTTTATTATTATAGATTGGTCAGACTTTTAGAAATTCATATTTTGCAAAAATGAGTTCACTTAAAAACCCCACTTACCAAATATTTAACCCTATGAAGTTTAACACAGAGAAAACGTAGTCTCCACCGACTAACATCCCAATGTAGGCAATGGATACGTTCTGCAGGGAAAGAGACGGTCAGTCATTTTAAAAGTGAAGAATTTAGGGGGAAAATACATGTCCATGGTGAAATCTGAAACTAAGTATTTTACTTGCTTTGCACATAGTAGGTGCTCACAGAATGTTGGATGAATGAATAAAAATCCATTGCAGATAAAAAAAAATGAAGTGAACTATGGCATGGCAATCACAGAAGACTGCATTATTCATGCTTCACACACAGGAAGCAGAGGTAAGAGTTGGGTAATAACCAACTTTCCAGACCCCATCTCTCTACCATCACTGGGTCGTGAACTTTCATTATATTGACCCTAAACTTGAACGGAGCAGAGACATCTCATCAATTCCAGGCCGCGCTCTGCCCAGCGTATCCCAGGAGGCCTCTGGGCAGCCTGCGGACAGCCTCCCGGGCCCAGGCAGCTTCCCCACCTAGTCCATGTGAGTAGGAAGACAAAGCAAAGTGGAAGAGAACGCAGACCCCTGTCCTCTTCATCCATGTGTGCCCTCAGCTGCCTGCACACACACACACACACACACACACGCACACACACACGCACGCCCAGGGCCCACGTGAGCGGGGCACCTTGTCACTGAGCGGCCCTCTTCACAAGGGTTCCCCTTCTTCGCTGGCAGATCCTCCCAGGAAACCAACGTGCAGGTGGCAGGGCGTCTCGGTGAGCGCGGGAGTCTGGCCATGTTTCAGCTTTTTGACTCCATTTCCCAGACCATGCCCCTGCACGACCCCCAATTAAAACATCATAATCTGCCTCCCCCTTTCCAATGAGCTAGTCCTCCCTCCGTTTTCTGGGTTAGAAGACGGAAGAAGTGACCGCCCAGGCACCGGTGGAAATGTCACAGCCTCCCTTCTCACTCCGCTGGTAACAACAAAATCAAACTCGGTTTCTACGGCAAAGACTGGGCTCACGGGAAGTCCCGACTCGACTCCACATCCCCGGCTTCCCCTTACCTTGATGGCTCCCACCACGGCGGTGGTCAGCGCCGAGTTGTAGTGGCTGCACAGCACGGTGGAGTACATCAGCAGGAACCTGCGAGGGAGCGACACCTGAGCACATGAGAACCACGGCTGCCTCAGTCGGCGAGTGACCCGTGGGCACTTTAATGGGCTTCAGAACCTACATATTAAAACGTCTTTTTAACTCTGCCCTTTCACAGGAGAATGGTCCAGTCATGCATTTGCCAGATTTCCTACCTTAAGTGTCTTTTTCATTTTGTCTGTCTCTTTCCCATTCATGTTTCCTCAGAAAGGGGGTAAGAACAATGAGTTTTTTTTTAAATGAAGAACAATGAGATTTTTTTAAACGATCTGAAATCTTTTGTTTGACAGCTACACTACAGCACTGGGTTTTAATCCCCTCTGTGCATCAGAATCACCTGGTGCACTTTTTTGTTGTTGTTAAGCCTCACCCGAGGATATTTTTTCCATTGATTTGTTGTTTTAGAGAGAGTAGAAGGGAGGAAGGGAGAGAGAGAGACAGAGAGATAGAAACATCGATGTGAGAGAGACACATTGACTAGCTGCCTCCTGCACATGCCCCGACCGGGGCAGGGATAGAACCTGCAACCCAGGTCCGTGCCCTTGACTGGGAATTGAACCTGAGAGCCGCCGGTGCACAGCCCGCACTCTAACCCCGGCCACCAGCCAGGCACCTGGTGCCCTTTTCCACACAGTGGTGCCTGGCAGAGCCCTCCTTCCAGTGGTGCGGGGGGTGGGGGGGCCGCAGGCAGTCTCGGCTCCGCGAGGAAGCCCACGAGCAGCCAGCGCTGAGAAGCACAGGTGTCAGGAGGGAAAGTCGGCGAGCAGCTGCTGGCTTTGGACAAAGGCGATGGACGTGAATGGGTGTCCATGTCAGCGACGCCCCTGGGCCTATTACCAAAGTTAACGCGACAGGCAGTCGACCCTGTCAGTACTTCATACCCACTTGTCAACGAAATGACCACAGACTGTGCCCAGGCACCAGACAGGAGAATATACCCGCCCAGGAGAGAATCTACAACCCAGCCACAGCGACAGGAAGAAAGATTCGTTTCAACCAAGGAGTGAAGGAAACTGGCTTCCACCCAAGTGGGGTGCAGCACACCACCCACCTGAATCGGGTGATTAAATGCTGACAGATCACAATCAACACCAGGAATGGGGTGGGGGTGGGGGGGGGGGAGAGAACAGCACTGGATTTTAAAGCCAAATCCCAGTTGGAAGGCAGGAGCAGAGGGAACCCTAAGACAGGACTCGGCCAGTGCGCCTGGAGGATAAATCCTGCGGGAAGTCAGCACTCAGACTCCAGTCCAGGCCCAGGTCTCTCACTGCTGGTAACAGAATCGGAATCAGAACAGTAACGGCGTTTGGCCTGAGATGTTTATTATCTTATTAGCAGGGGTGGTAGAGAACAAAGATTAAAGTACATCACGCGTTAACATAAAGCTGAGGAACAGACTCAATTACAATCTTCAATTTTGTAATTCTCAGGAAAATGTCTGTTATCGAGGTAATTGCAATAATTTGACAAGTGAGAGAAGCCACCATCTCGGCCTGTGTGGCTTTAATTTGAAACGTGCAGCTGACAGACTTGCAGGTTTCATCTGAAAGGAGTCGGGGAATCTGAGTAAATCGGCACACGCTACTCGCATGTTGAAAAGAAGCTGAATTACGATATTTTCAACTTTGGTTTCTTAGGTTTCAAAGGGCTGCTTTGCTGTGCAAAGCCACCAGGTTCATCAGCTTTGCTAGGGCCGCATTAGGGCCTGAAATTACTGGGGGGAAATCAGGTAAAGCAGATTGTAAATGCAGTTTTAAAAGGTTAAAAACCTTTTAATTCACTAAGTTGTAAATGGAACTAATTTACAGTAAATTGTTTAGGAGATTTTAATCAGTTAAACTTGAGATAACAAACCATTAATCAAATAATGAAAGTAAAATTATGTTTATGCAAAAATTACTGGCTTTATAAATAGAGCAGCAGTATTTATATATTAAAGGCTTAACGAAATCTCCGTTTTAATTTTTACATTTTTAATAAATTCAACATTAATGGAGAGCCCCGAGGAACTATGAATAATCCTGCTCATGCATAAAATGAAAAGATTAAAAAGCGCAGCCTGCGGTTGTGAGTGGCGGCTCTGCTGGGCCCGGGGGTAAGAGACAGTGCCCCCAGCATCTGCTCTGCAGGAGCTCAGAGTCTACATCAGAGAGTGCAGCCCAGGGCAGGGGACCACCCCAACTCGGACACAGGAAAGCGTCCAGCAGGCTTCCTCACCGGCACTGCGGCCTCACACCAGGGCCAGCATGGACGTCCTGTAGTTTTATTTTTGCTTTGGTTCCTATCCCAGGGTTCTGGTCACGCATTTTCTCCATCCCACATTTTAGTGAAACCATCTGGGCTGCGTTCAGAATCACGGACACCTTGGATCTAAGACTCCAATGTCCATCCACCACGAGTGTGGGCGACCAGGACACTCACTGGCCAGCTGGGGAGGAGCCCCCTCTCTAACGTCCT